AATAACACAAGTATATCGATTATAAATTTGTACTTTTTCATTTCTTTAGATTTTGAGTACTTTTGAAATGGAGAAAATTTCTACTAACGCAAGGATTATTAACTCAAAACTAGTGTAACAAAACTTAACCTCCATTCAACTTTCTCTTTAGAAAGTGCCATAAGGTTATGAAGGTAACAATATTACAAGGAGGTCATTGAAAAATATAGTTGTTACTACAAAATAATGTACAAAGTAGGGAAGTATTTTTATTTTATTGTCATTGCTTCAGTAATCACATTATATTTTTATGGTGAGAGTGCAGAGGTACAACAAAACCAATTCATACCAGAGTGGAAAGGTCGAAATTCATTTCGTGTGTTCACCACGAAATAAATTTTAATCCTTCCAGGCCGGAATCAAACCGGCTTCATTAGACTCGAAAATGTTAAAACAGGCAATTCTCTAACACTTTCGTTCATAATGATCTTTTAGCGGTGTGGACTGATAGAGCTTTGTCTGCGTTTTTTTTTAATTACAACTGTTGGCGGTGGTCTAGCCTAACTGGTTAACATCTGTGCAAAACACGCGTAGTCCAGTAATCTGATAAAATTACGAGTTCGCCAAGGGAATTAAACTCTGACATCAATTCCCATCTTATCCTTTCGTCCGGGAAAAAAACCGATTAGCCGAAAAGGCAAAAATGAAGAGAAGAAATAAAACAGAAAATTTGTTATTAAATAACTAATAACTGACTAACTTGGATTAAGACTAACTAACTGGACCAAGACCCAGTATAGTTCCAATGGAATAATACTTGCGTTTTAAAGCCCTAAAATGTTGTGTTTGTGACATAAATCGTAATTCTTTCGAAAGCTTCTTGAATGCTATTGTTGCCATGGAATATTTATCAAATGTTTAAGTCTTAAAAATTAAAATATTACTATCTAGTCTTTGATAAACTAAAAATCTATCGAGAAGGTTAAAGGAGAAGAATAGCTCTATTATCTCTTGGGCAGTTCAGATAATATGGAAAGAAACTTTTCGAAATTTTTAATAAATAAAAAATACCAGATACGGCTTCTAAGTTTACAGAAACAGACAGTTATATTCTCAGTAATAGACATCTTTATTGTTCGTAAGTGAGACTACAAACCAAGGCTTACTGCACCAAAAAACTTGATGGAATACAATAGGGATTAATTTTAGTTCAGAGATAACTGTGCTTTGTTGCTTAACTATTAAACTAGATGAATATTTTTCAATGAGACAAGCAAATATCTTACTTAGTAAGTAGGCTGTTACTTTAAGAGCACTGATAAAGAATGAAACTTCATTAATAGTTATTGTCGAATAGACAATCTTAATAATAATATATTGGTTATACCAATAAACACGATATCGATTATACGTCGAATGCATTACTGAAAAGGAGAACAATCTAATGTGAGAGTTCTCATTGAGATGAACAGAATTCCCGATTTGTAATACTTTAGCTACCATTCTCCAGATACGTAAACGCAATATAGCACAGGCGGATTTACGGGGGGAGCTTTCGGGCTGAATCGTTTTATAAATATATATATGAAAAAAAAAAACCTTCCGGGCTGAAGCCCCCCCAAAATTAAATCCTTGATCCGCTAGTGCAATATAGAATACAAAAAATTAAGTTATTGGAAGATACACGATAATTTTTTAGGCTTTAAAAGTGCTTTATTATCTGTGAAATACTTTTAAAACCCACAAAAAAAGAAATCACAACTTCTCCGCACAAGAACAGCGCTATTGTACAGTTTATTTAGAACGTTTCTTCTTGCTCGATGATTGTACTAATGTTCTTAAAAATTCTTCACAACGTTCCAACAGTAGTCTGCGAGCATTGAAATACCCTACCGACCTCGACGTATTCGTTCAATGGAGGATATATCTTGGTGAAATCGCTCACCATGCTCGTCACTTACAGATCCACAATTTTCGGGAAAAAAGTCCAAATGAGAGAGAAGAAAGTGAATCTTGAGTGACATGTTACAAATGAGATCTCTGTACTTCTCAAAGACGACATTTTTTTTTTTCCTTCCCTACCTCGCCTTTTAGGCTATACGGGATTTTCCCGGGCCGGGGAGTTTAAAATCCCTTCCGGCACCGGGACGCGAACTCGTACTTTTTAAATCTTCTCTAATCTGTAATCCGGTTGCCAGGCAACTCTCGGTGCTGTGCACACGCTTTAGCCCATACAGCCACCCTGCCCCCAATTCTCAAAGAGGACTAAGACAGCATAATTGTCCTCTCTTTTATTACCCAAGAAACCATAAACAAAAGCTGTAATTGGTTCCTACAGTGCTCTTTCTTTACCCTATATTAAAAATTCCCTGTCATTAAGAAGCTCATGGATTTGGAGATCAACAAATTCACCCTCTTTAACCATAGCTTCACTTAAGTGAAGACATTTTCTTCTCAAGTATTAGAATGCCTCTTCTGATTGGTCCATTCCTTTGAAAAAATTTTTCATGAGCCCTAACTTTATACGTAGTGGAAGCAAAATGATTTTTTTCAGGGCCCACAAGAGGTTTGTAAAGAACATTTTTTTCGTCCAGGGGTCAGGAATTCTCTTTGAGGCCATTCTTTCCTGATGTAATGAGATGCTCTGTCCCACCCACATAAGAAACAACAGTACTTAGTATATCCCTGTTGCATGCCTAGAAGAATTGCCACCACTTTCAGGTTCCCACAGATTTGTCAATGGTAGTCCTGGTATTTGATGGGTTTCCATGTTTTGGTAAGTTTCCTTCATGTAGACAGCATGGCCAAGAGAGAAAGAGAGAAGTAAATTGCAATTGAGCAACTGAACTAAAGTAGGGAAAGTATTGTTTCTTGGTCTACAGTTGCACAAGGAGGTGATTTGACTGAGATCACACACAACCACCAGATTTTCCCCCTTAATTAATTATTTCAATTAAGGGTACCTATTTTATAGAGGCTGGGTGTGCCCCGGGAAGGTCTACCCACCCAGGGTCGCCCCATGGCCAATGAAACTGAATAAATATTTTTTCTGCCATGAGCCGGGATTCGAACCAGGGACTATTAGCATTGGAAGCTCAGTTCAATCCTACGACTAAGCTACCCCACTCCCAAAAATTTAAGATAGGTATATGACTCAGATATTATAGCAACTTTTTCCTTAAAATCCGCTATATCGACGATGAAACACATTTTTACAATTTTCTCAAAAACAGCTCTGACGATTTTGCTTAAACTCGGTGTCTCATTTTATAATTAAGTGGTATTCAATATCATTTAGATCATCTATTGATGTCACTTTACAGGGCTTAAATGGCCAACGTTCATATATGTCTTCCTCTAAAGTACTTTTGATATGGTTTATTTAAAAAAATTAACTTTCTTTTATTGACAGTAACTAAAAGAATGGCTATGAAGTTTGAAAGAATATGATAATTGGAAACTGGAGAAAAAAAGAAAAATGCTTATCAAGGTTGAAAATGAATCACCAGAAATAATAGTCAGAAGATAAACCTATAATATATCGTTGGAAACTGGAGAATTTTAGAAAAAACAAACAAAGTTGTAAATAGTAATGGAGAGTAACGAAAAAAATATAAATAATAATTTCTGAAAACAAACATTATTTAGCACAAATCACATGTTTCCAAGGAAATTAAAGTTTTCAGTAAACTTTAAAATAACAGTTTAATAACTGATAGTCCTACAATTCATAATGATTTATAGGTTAAATATTAACATATACTTTCAAATATCTCTAGGCATATATGAGCCTTATGGTTGACAGAATGACTAACTCAAATTTCAATATTCTTCATTATTAATTTTAGTGATGTTTCTAGCAGGAAAATCTATACCTTCATTTACAGTTCTATATTTCAATACTGCAATCACATACTCTGGAATCAACTTACTCACTGTCTGTACATATATAACTTTTTTAACTAAAAATATCACTAAAATGACTTTATTAAAAGATGTTAGTCATACTGTCACCTGAAAGGCACACATAGATCGGAGTCTAAAGTTATGTGGTTTATAAAAGCAGATGGAGTGACTGGATTTTTATTGTCTACCGTCGATATAATAAATAGTTTTTGTAATTTTAATGATCTTAATGATTTATTATCTGTAAGCTTTAAGCTTAAGCTTCGTTTAAAATGCATTTAAAAAATTTTATAATAGCCCAACATTGCCAGAAAATAATGTCTGTTCAAAACAGAGTGGTAAGTGAAAGTTCAGAATAAATGGAAATCAGGTGGTGCAACATCGGACAAGTATGGTGGGTGAGGAAGTACCTCCCACCTCAATTCATTATTTTGTCCTGGATTCATCTTGAGCATTGCGGTCTTGCATTATCTTGTTACAGAATAATGCCTTCTCTGTTAACAATCGCTGGCCTCTTTTCAATTTAAGACTGATTTACACCATTAAATTGTTCACTGTAAAGATCTTAAGCTTTAAGCCTAAGGACAATCTGCATTCAGATTGTCCTGGTTTCAGCACTTCAAAATGAACAATGCCGCGAATACTTCACCAAACACACAAAAGGGCCGTTTTGGGGTGTAAATCTGAACTAGCAGTACTTTGTGGGGATTTATTTGGATTAGAGACACTTCTTTTAGCGTTTTAGAATATCATAGAGGACCAATTTTTCATTTCTGGTGATCAAAAGATCAAAAAAACACTTCTGTATTGTATTGTTGAAGCAATCAGTTGCATGTGGTGGTTTCTTAATCCGCTGCAATGTTCTTGGATGGTCGACCAAGGTTGGTTAAGACTTTATGTAAATTTCTCAATTGCCTGATACGAATTTGCCTTGACTTCCGCCCTTAACACGTTATTGTCTAACATTGTTGGTCTTTCTGATTGATATTAGTCGGAAAGATCAAAATTATCAGATTTGAACTTGAAAAACCATCTTTGGCATTTACAAACGTCTAATGCATATGGATAAACATCGCCGCTCGGGCCACCAAACCCCTAAAGATAAGTGGCTGTAATTTTAGGTCATTAAAATAACAAAATAGCAACTATAAGTTTATTAACATTTATACATAAAAAAATGAATCAATTTCATGATCCTTCCCTTAAAATTTCAAGTTCTTCAGGAGTAGTGTGAAGTCTCAATTCTTTTTCTACCAATAAATCCTGAATTTCTGGAAGGTCTTCAGGCAATATTTTTGCTGCTTCGTAGTAAAGAAACTGAAAAAATAAAATAAATAAATGATACTAAGTTAAATGATTTTTAAACAAGAGTTATCAACTTGTAAGATTTCAAAGAGCATAATAGGAAATAACTTAGGGAATATAATAAAATATTAGAGAAAATAACGTGTTATTTTATTAAATAATTAACTGCCTCTTATTGTTAGTAGCAATAAAAAAAAAAAAATTGATAATTGACTAAAGCAGAAAAAAAGAAGTATGCTTTTTTTAGGTTGAAAATGAATTTTTGGAAATATTAATCTGAATGTATACGTATAATGTATCGTTGGAAAGCTGATAGTTTTATAAAAAACAATATCTAACATACAAGGGTGTAAAAAATAATGGAAAGTAACAAAAAATTATAAATAATAATTTCTGAAAATTAAAGTTGTTTAAAGGAAATCAAATGTTTTTATGGAAACTAAATTAAATTCCCTAACTAAATGTAAATTAAAAAAAATAAAATAAATAAATTTGAAATAAAATCATATATGATCCACAGATTTGAGGAAATTAAATAGTTAAAAATAATTTTATTGCACTTGTGCTAAAGAAGAAGTGGAATATAAAAATATTTTATACATGAGATGAGTAAAACATATGTTTATGCTAAAGTTAAATAAGTTTAGATTCGATAACATATTTAAATAATTATAAATGTGGCAGCAATTTATTCCAAAAATCATTTAGAAACATTTTAGAAAGGAAATGATTGAATAATTTGATAAATTTTCCCTCTGTTGAATCACATTATGCCTTTCCTATTAATGTGATGGATTTTGGGCTATCGATTCATTATTGAAAAGCCGTTAACTGTATTTTGGTAAATTTTACAAAGTAAAAATAACATTTTAAGAACCTGTAAAAAGTAATAGAGATTTAATCCCTACAAGTTTACTATGTAGTACGACCCCTTACTTATACATAATTAAATATATGTACTTTAAAATCTCTATTTGTATATAGAGCTCAGAGACTGTAGTTAAGTGATTCAAATATCCTGATGGAGTTATGAGGTTTTTATTACCTACAATCAATATAATAAATAGGGTTTGTGTTATTTTGATGGTCTTATTGAGTTTTTGCATTGATAAATATGACCGAAATAGACAAATATGTTCTTCAAGATTTAGAATGCTCTTAAAGAAATAATGTCACAGCCCAATTTTGTCAGACAAGAATTTCTGTTCAAAGTAGAGTGATAAGTGAAATCTGTGTAATGCGCACACCAATTTTTTTCATTTGTATCCCCTAAAACTGCAAAAAATACTTGAACAATTCACTTATATATTTTTGCAAAATGGTTGGTGTGGTATTGAGAAGGTTTCAAGCTATTGAAATCCTCTTTCTGAGAATTAGAAAGTAAGTTAAAAATATTCTTAAAGTGTTTAGAAAGTTTTTTAAGTAAATTTAATCATAAAAGATGATCTTGGGAAAGAGCGATACCAACAAAAATGTAAATTTAATAAATTCACATTTTTGTTGGTATCACTTTGGATTGTTAAAATGTCACTGAAACAAAAATATTGGTCATAGAAGAAAGGCTATTAAGAGAAAATAAGAAGAATAACAATAATAAAGTCTACCCCTCTTCATTAATTTTAATAATAAACCATACAATCAATAATTGATTTTTTTTAAATTGTAATATGAAATTGATACATAAAAAAATCAATCACATGGAAAACACGATAAAATAAACGGTTTTACACACAAGGAATGATAGTTAATAATAATTTTACATTTTAAATGCTGTATTACTGTACATCATACTAGATTACTCTAGTAATAAAAACATAAATTTTTGTATAATATTTTTAATATATCTAACAAAAATTAAACAGCTTATCTTTGGTTTACAAATAAAAATACCAAAACACCCTTTTTGTAAAAAAAGTTGGAATGGAAAATCTTCTATAATACTGACTTTTAAATTTATATTAGGAGGCCTAAACACACTATCTTAGCATAAAAATATTTAAAAAAAAAACACTGATAAATCTAAGTTTTGAATATTTTATAATGTTTTTATAGTCTTTTAATTAATGTAAAAGACCATAGACTTTTCAACCATAGATGTTATTGAAAATACTATAAACATAGAAAACACAAAGGGGAATATCATGAGACATAAAAGTAAATCCTGGCTGAAAAGATTGACAAGAGTGTACATTGCTATTGACCGCTATGACAGAGGAGAATACACCTATGCTGTGGAGTGCGGGCATCGGCTGGGATCGTACCTAACCTGGTGGTCTTAACCAATCCCAACCTAGCCTCACAGCCCGGGCAGGTAAACAAATGTAAGCATTCAACCGGTGCTCACAGATAAGACCATAATCCTACTCTCATAGTTTTCAACGGCTCATCTATTCACTATACCAGATGACTGGCCTGAACAAAGTCATGACCAGCTGAACACTGGTGTCGTACAGAGAGCAGTCACAAACACACTACCGTCACGGCCAAGCAGTACAAGCACTCATGCTGTCCACCCAATTTGCCAGGGCTCCGGCGGCGCTCTGTAGCACCAATTTGATCAAACAAGCTTTTCTTCCCTGACCTCAGAGCATGATTGGTCTTAGGCTCCGCGCTGACAGGAAAAAAGGCAATGGAGAGGGCCTAGAACAGCTTCAAGTGCTTGTCGAGCTGATAAATAAATAATAATAAAAGTAAATACAAATAGCCAATCAACAACTCATTACTGCAGATTTTATGATAAATTTAATTCCTTGTCTAAATTTTAACAATGTTAGCATACTGATTGCAAGAATTCATTTATTATATTATTGGTGTTATTTCTCCAATAAGCTGTAGTCCACTAATTTAAACCTAAACTGTACAAGAAATGGTAAGTATATCTAAAAGTTCTGATTGAAATATTAGAAAAGATACAGCACTTCAATGGAAGTCTAGGGACGAGGAGGGAAAAAAATATATATATACATATATTAGAATATCTAAAATTAATTTAAAAACTATATTGCCAATTATTAAAAATTTAATTAATTTATAGCTTAATAAAGAAGAGATTCCTACCTTAACCCATGGGCACTTTTCAACAGATCTATAAAAAATCTGTTTAATATCTTGAGTATCTTTAAGACTGCTGGCTTGAAGAAAAAGCCTCCAAAACAGAGGGCACCGCTGATATGAATTTCTCAATTTTTCAAGAAGGTTTTGCAATCTAATCCCCACATTTCCTTTGTTGGATTGCTCTTTGATTAGCCTCGTATGTGTAATGAAGTAGGTGAAAGCTGAAGCAAGAGGAGAGCCAGAAGACACAATTAAGGATGACATCTTCTGCCATTTTATTCCTACAACCTATAAATGCAATGGTTACCAACTATTCAAATCTTAAGTTATAAATATAAGTTGACTTCCAAGAAGTTTTTTTTGTTATTAATGTGCCATACGAACCGAGATATTTTTTTTTTGTTTCATTTTAACATTTTTTTTTTTAAATTATGAGGATGACAAATAAATGGGATATGCAGTCATTTATGCTGTTTATTAAGTTTGACAATGTTTCGACCCAAGCATCTGGGTCATCATGGTTGTTTGCGAGACAAGAACTGAGCAAGTCCTCCAAGGGCTAAGTTTTATTATAAAAAATATATTTTATCTCATAAAAAGTATATTTAAGTTATAAATTAAAAAATATAAATGTTTATATTAATAAACAATTTCATTAATATGACAAAATACAATCGTAATCTGCTAGTTTTTATAATGTTTTACTTTCAATTTCTCTAAAACGGGCAAAATTTGAATCTGCACGTTTTCTTTTATATAATACATATAATATAAATTAAATATACACATACATTTTTTTACGTAATGTGACAGTGAGGGAGAATTGAGTTGAGCTAATCTAAACTAATGCAAACACGCTGCTACGAAAAGTTGTGTATTTACGTTTACTTTTAGACACATTTTTTTGTTTTGAGATTCCATCTAAAGAGTACTGGTGATGTGTTCCTGAAACTTTGGAGTAGCAATTGGGAACTAATACGGAAATAAACAAACTATTATTACACTCTTCATAGATGGCCAATTATTATTATTAGTGTTTATTCCTTAATATTTTTAATGGAAATGCAAATCTTTTATGTTTTGGTAAGATATCATAGAAGGTCTCAATTGTCAATGTATATATTATTATGATTCTCGAAGATAATTCAATAAAGTACAACACTGTCAAAAAAAAAAAAAAAAAAATTATTGAGAGTCAACATTAACAACATACATTTTTAATTTATACATTTTGTTTTTATCATAGTAAACAAACCTCGCATGTGTAAATGGCATTGAAAAATAATCCATTGTTAGGATAATGTTGTATTGCACGTAGTAATATGTCATGTAAAAAACTGAAATGACCAGGATTTTCTTTACAGTAGAGTAATGTAATATTCACAAGATTTTCATGAAGTTGTTCTAACATCACACCAATCCTGAAATGTAAAAAAATTGTATATTAAAAAAATAAGTTATTCATTTAAAACCCTTACAATCTTAAGGCAATAGAATGGAGGTAATATAATTGTATTTCATTTATCAATCAGATAAATATATCCAATAATAAGTAGGGGATTTCCTATTCAAATATTTCCTATAAATAGATGGTTAGTTCAATAAAATATTTTATGAGAAGGAGTTGATCAGGAGGGTGCGGTCAAATAAATACTAAATTATACAAATAGTATTATTTAATTTTTGCCGACACTTCGACATTAGACGGCTACCAGTATTTAAGACCTGCAAAGTGGGTCGAAACGTCGGCATAAATTAAATAATACTATTTGTATAATTTAGTATTTATTTGTCGGCACCCTCCTGATCAACTCCTTCTCATATTATATCACGGTCAACCATCTGTACATCATTAAAAATATTTTATGTATGAATATCTTCAACAAAGAAAACTTAAGCAGTTATTTCTGGATTTCAAAAAATTGTTTATATAATGAAATATGGTTAGTTAAAAAAAATAAAATTGATAGTAGTGCTATCATTTATTTTTTTTAATTTTGAAAAAAAAAATGGCATTAGATCAAGTGAGAGTTATAATAAAAGATGTTTTTTGTGTGAAAATAGTATTAGAAAAGTTACTATATTTTCCCACTTTTACCATGAGGTAAATTAAACATAATAGTGTAATTATTAAGAGGTCATTAACATTAATGGTAGCACTAAAGGGGATAATAACAAACCTGTGTTTATTCATACTCAATATCTAGATTAGTATTTTGGCCAGATTTTAAGATCATTAGACCCAATGTGTGTCCCAAGGGAAAGGTAACTTAGCATTATATACTGTTGTACGGTTATACTGTAGAATCATACTTGAAAATTTTTTCGACTTCGCTTATGGTTTTTTAAAGCATAATATGGATCGTGGGCGGTGTGACCAAACGGGCTAACGTGTGTGCACAACAACGCCATTGCCCGGCAACCCGATATATGATACAATGATAAAATATAGTCACGAGTTCGCGTCCTGGTGCCAGGGGCGTCTTTTAAATCCCCACCCACACTCCTTGGCCCGGGAAAAACCCCGTAGTATAGCCTGAATGAAAGGCGAGGAAGGGGAGGAACCGTAAAAAAAAAAATATAAAAAAAAAATATAAAAAAAGAACTTATAAAAATCAAAATTTCGCTAATAAAAAAATCAAGAAAGATTAAAAAGACAAGAAAGATCATAAAAATTATTAAAGCACTTTTAAGGTTTCTCCATAATGAAATGAACTGTACCCAGTATTATAATTCCTACATGAAAGATAGTTTACCACCTAGTTGAAATATAAAAATGTTGCGAAGATGATAAAAATCAATTTTTAAGGACAATAATAAAGCATACTTACAAGTTACCGTTTTTGTTTTTGAGTATCTCTAATTGTTGAATGGCATTTTCCATTATCTCAGTACTCTTTTTTATTCCTTCATGAATAAAAGTGAACCAAGCATGTAAAGACAACCATGATACAGTGAATTCAGGAAAAATGATTTCTGACAAACCAATTTCTGCATCCTTTACATCATGCAAAACTTCTGTGGTGATGTGGCTAAATTTTTCACTAGTTTTCGTTAAAAGTTCATCTCTATATACAATATTTTTTATAGGTTCTCCAAATACTAAAGCAATGAAAGCTACTAAAATTTTTTCTCTGCAAAAAAAAAAAATATATATATATATATATTTTTTTTTCCCAATGATTAATCTAAAGCTACCATTAATTACTATTTCAATGATTAATACTATGTAAAAAATCTGTACTATTCAATAAATTAAGTGACAATATTACAACAATAATAAAAAAATATAGATGGATTTTTAGTAATGTAAAAGAATATACTGTTATCCACCAACAAAAAGTGAGATCCAGTACATTTTGATTTATTTGTTCTGAAAAAGCAAAACGAAGTTTCAAAATAAATTTTTATTTTCCTTCAACTGTAAATTCTGATTAAAAACACACATTAAAAAAAATTACAAGACATTAAAAATGCCTATGATATGTAGCAAAATATAAAAACTTTGCTACATTTAACTGTAAATAGAATTTTTGCTTGTTTATAATTAATTTGCAAACCAACACATAGCTAAAATATTTAAGAAAAAAAAAACAACCTTAAAATACTTACTTATTTAAGTTTATGTCTTCTTTTATTAAAAGTAAAATATATTCTTTATACAGAGTGCAAAGATCTCTTTTTTCTAGTGTCCCAGCCATCAAAGGGGAATTTCTCAAATTCATGGTCATTTCTAAAACTTTTAAACATGCACTGATGTCACCTCCTTCATATTCCAACAAAGCATACTCTATATACAACGGTATACAATCCCTATGCTGTTTCAAAAGTTTTTTAGCACGACTTAATAAACCTTTTCTTAAATCATCACTTGATTCAACATCTTTTACTCTCTGAACCAAGTGTATCCATCTCCACCATCTCATCTGCCATACTAAAAAGCATATTTTGTCGGTTGAACTATAAAATATGCACTTATCAAAAACAGAATTTACAAAATCGAAAAATTGATTCTGACCAAGACCATTAATTAAATACTGTGGTCCATACAAGAGTTCTAAAACTACATCCAAATAATCTTCATTGCCTGAAACTGCAAAAAAATTATAATATAGAAAAGCATTAACAAATATCTTCATGTTTAACTTGAATATGAAAAATAAGTGCATCTTACATTTTGCAGAAAGAATTATTTCTGCAGAATCTAAAGACCATGAAATTTTATCCAGCTTAGTAAATCTGTAAAATGCATCTGTAAGAGGCAGGGGCGGAACTTTTAATAGGAGAAGTGTATTCATAATGAGACGTGACTCACAAGATTTTGTAATAGGAAATAGAAGCTGGGTAAGATCTTCTCTGAAAACCATTCTTTGTGGGTCAGAAGATTCTTCAACTGGAAAAAAGTATATCCCTTCTCTCAATCGCTCTATTCTTAGCCAAAGAGAGCCCAATGGTAGCCCTGAGGTTATTACACCATCTTCCAATCGTTCTATAAAATAAAAAAAGTTTTAACAGAATTAATAAATATAATAATATGTTTATAAATATACCTAGTTCATTGTATGTACATAGGCAGAAGGCCAGCAAAATGATGTCTCACGTATTTCATCTTCTGGAAGATGGACGATTTGTTTGAAAGCTCCTGATCCTGCAGTAGTTAGGTTTAGTTCTAGATACAATTCAAGCAAGACCCATAGTTGTTCCCACAACCCAGACTGTCTCAGGAATAATCCACACTGTAGTAAAACATCTACATCATAAATAATATAATAGAATACAGTTCTAATTATAAAAACTTATTATTACTTTTTTTTTTAATACAGCTTACAAAAACCCACACACAAAAAAAAAAATGATGTTCTTGTTTTTAAATGCTAAAAGGAAATGTAATTGTAAATAATGTAGAAAACATTTGTACAATGATAATGGTAAAAATTATAATAAAAAATCTGGTGTGTGCAACACACAATTTTCACTTACCACTCTACTTTCAATAGAAATTATTTTCTGACAATGATGGGCTATTACAAAAAATTGATGAAGTGCATTTTAAGCGGAGCTAAAACTTAAAGCTTACAGATAACAAATCATTAATACCATTAAAATTACAAAAAGTCTATTTATTATATCGACGATAAGCAATAAAAATCGAGTTTCTTCATCTGATTTTATAAACCACATAACTTCAGTTTCTGAGCCTTGCAGTTGACAGAATGACTAACTCCTTTGAGTAATGTCATTTTAGTGATATTAGGAAATCTAGTTGGAAAAGTTATATCTATACAGACAGTGAGTAAGTTGATTCCAGAGTAGGTGATTGCAGTGTTGAAATATAGAACTGTGAATAAAGTTATAAATTTTGCCACTAGAAACAGCACTAAAATTAATAATAAAGAAATTGGAGTTAGTCATTCCACCAACTGAAAGGTTCATATATGCATAGAGAGATGAGAAAGTACATGTAAATATTTAATCTATAAATGATTATGGATCGTAGGACTATTAGTTATTAACCTGTTATTTTCCATTGTAAAGTTCACTAAAACAAAATTATGAGATTTTCGTTGCCTAGCCATAGATAGCTCAAGAGTCACACTAATTGTAAGTGGATAATGTTGGGATTTCACAAAAGGAAAATTCATCAAATTATTCACTAATTTAATATCCTAAAAGGTTACTTGATGATTTCTTGGAATAATCGGCCGATAGATACCTAATTATTTAAATATAATATCTTATCTAGAGTTAGTACTCTATAGTAAATATTTTTGCGATTATAAACATATCCATGAAATATTTTTATATTTCACAAAAGTACAATGAAATAGTATTTTAAACAATGGCATTGGCTTGATTTGGTGGATTTTAAATACTTTTTTTGCAATCTTAGAAAAATATTTAAAAGTTTACAGATAGGAAATTTAATTTAATTTCCTTGGAAACATGTGATTTACGTTAAATAATGTTAGTTTTCTGAAATTATTATTCATATTTTTTTCCTCACTCTCCGTTATCTTCTACAACTTTATTTATTTGATATGTTTTCTAAAATTATCCGCTTTCCAACAATATATTATATGTATACCTTCTGACTGGTATTTCCGGAGATTCATTTTCGATCTGGATAAGCATTTTTATTTTTTCTCCTTTATTTTATTATCAAATTCTTCCAAAAGTTATATTTAGCATTTTTTTCGTAACTCTGAACAACTTGGGATGATTATTTTTTAAAATAAACTATATAAAGGTACTTTAAAGGAAGAAGTATATGAACATTGGGTATTTAAGCCCTGTAAAGTGACATCAATGGAGATAAGACCTGATTGATATTAAAGACCACTTAATTATACAATGATACACCGAGTTTAATCAAAATCGTTAGAGCCGTTTTTGAGAAAATTGTAAAAATGTGTTTCACCATCAATATAGAATGGCACTTCCGGTTAGCCGATTTTAAGGAGAAAGTTGCTGTCACATTTAAGGCATATACCGATCATAAATACGTAATATCAGTTTCGTACGACTTTTCATTTTTGATCTAGACTGCTAACATACAAGCACACAGACACAAAGATCATTTTTCGAGACTTGGTTATTTGGATTCAGTGTACCCCAAAACGTGTATTTCCATTGAAAACTCAGATTCAAAAATTTTCACGATCGCAATACTTACTCTCACTATATATTACATATATACGTAAGTGAAAGTAAAAAATACAAACTATTGAATTGTATAATAACTTATTTAATATAATTAAATTGTGAACTATTTTCTACTATTATCAAACATAAAAGTGGAGCATATCCCTAAAAATAATAATTATGTATATATATGTATATATATATATATATATATATATATATATATATATATTTGGTATTGCGAGTATTTTATAAATATAGAAACTAGATTCTTTAATAGATATCAAAGTAAACAAGTCTAAATTAAAATTACCCATGAAATTATCAGAATCATGATGTGCTTTGTTGATTCCCTCTAAAGCTTTTTCATAATTCATTAAAACACCAGGAGCAGCCATTTTTGATAAATTGAACTGAAGGGAGTTAATGATCCACAACCAACCAATCATATTTTGTGGATGTTTGGTAACCAAGGTTTTAGCTTCAGTGGCAACCTAAAAGATAATGTATTTGTTTTAAAAAACGAAAAAAGATATATGTTTATTGATGATAAACATAAAGGATTTCAAAATATAGAACAGTGCAAACGCAATAACTTACAATTTATTAGAAAAAAATTATAAAACATCATTTTTATTGTTAAACATAAATCAAGAAAAGAAAAATTAATAAACATAAGGTACATTATAATGTTATCTTAGTAATAGATGGTAGTTGCAGCAGGGAGAGGGTCAGGGGGAGGGAATGGGAGAGAGGGAGGGAGTGGGAGAGGGAGAAGAGGAGGGAGAGGAAGTGGGAGAAGGAGAGGGAGTGAGAGATTATCAATTTAGATAAAAAAACAGGTTTTGAGCAACATTTTTTAAAAATATATATTAAAATACCTTGTCTAATGGGTAAATAGATTCAGTTATAGACATCTTTTCTTGCAACAATTCATCTGCATCTGGATTAATAAGAAGTGCTCGATCCAAAATAGACAGTTTCTTTTCACCACGGCCTCGGACACTACCGATACCACAATCCTGTGAAATATACATTTAATAAATCATTTTTATTAAATATTATTATAATATTTTGATTGATAATTTTTGAAATTTATAATACTTCTTTTACAGATTTCAAACAAATTTCACGACTGGTATATAAGATTTACACAATAAAATAAATAACAATATAAAAAAGGAACTAAGACGCAAATAGTTTCTTTGGTTTAGAAATAAGTGTAGCTCTTTATAAAACTGGAAATACCAGTATTTTAACATTTTCATCAAAACCTTTATACTCAATCATCTGATTCAATCGTTTTCATTGAAGCACCCAGCGAAGCACTACTGTGACTCAGTCTGGCAAAATGGAAAACAGAAAGCACATATGAGTGGCTTAATATCAAAGCAGACATCTGTCATTTTAAAAAAGTTAAGAAAAAGTAATTCTGTTATATAGCTTAAATTTAAACCAATTCTAATGATGTTTTTCATGATTCAACTTGAAAATTATTAAATAAAATCATCAGAAACAGTTTGAGTTGAACCTGAAATGTATTTCCTCCACACTAAATATTTATTGAGCCATCCATAGATAATAATAAAACAAAAAGTTATTATGGAAACATCACCGTTACCTTATAATACTGAATCGTTTGAGTGGAGTGGAGAAAACAACATTCTCAATAAAGTTTTTCTTTTTCAGCTTTTAACCTACCTCTTAAATATTCAGATAATAATATGAAACAATTTGACGGTACACATTGTAAGAAACATAACTTGAGAATAGCAGATGATAATAGGGTGTGCCTGTTGGGACAGGTAGGGGCTAGAGTAAAGAACAGCCATGGGACCTGGAGTATTAAGCTAGGGGGAAAGGTGTATAGATATAGAGAGGTTGCAAAGGATAAGAGGGCATGGATAGGAGCAGTAAATAAGGTCGAGGGCTGGAGGAAATTGATAAAAGTGGAATTTGAAGACATTTTCTTTAAAGAGGGAGAGATATTAGGTGTAACAGAGAGGACAGTTCACAAGATCCCACCGAATTTAAATAAAAATACGATGGACAAGATATATCCGATCCCCAGATTTGAAGACATATTAGACAGGTTGAGTGGGGCGGTGATATTAAGTGAGATGGATCTTAAAGCAGGATATCACCAGATAAAAATGCACCCAAAGGACCAACATAAATGGCCTTTACATTCGAAAGGGGACATTACGAATTCACCAGGATGCCGTTCGGACTAAAAAATGACCTGATAACTTTTCAGTGCTTAATGGACAAGTTCTTGAGAGACATTGATGAATTCTCCTTTAATAAATTCTTTCATAGTTTATATTGTGTCATTTTTTATCACTAATGACAATGAGTGATAGTTAATTATTTACAAGAAACCAAATTAAAGGTACTTTACAGGAAGAGAATTAAAAATTTAAGCCCTGTTAGGCTTCATCAATGATTATAAAACCAAGCTGATGATATAAGCCATTTAATTGTACTTTGTATAATAAGTAAAATAAGTTCAATCAAAATCATTGGAGCTCATTTCTAGGAACTTATAAAAATGTGTAAAATTGATGATGTAAAGTTGTACTTCTGGTTAACCAATTTTAGAGGAAAAATTGTTATAACATCTTAGGCATATCTACCTAAAAACTTTGTTTCAGTTTTGTAAAACTTTTCATTTTCGAGCTAGAATGTTCGCACACAGACTTGCAGGACTTGATATTAGGACTGAGGAGACCTTAAAACATGTATTTCCATTGAAAATACAAATTCAAAATTGTACACGATCACATTAATTTTCCTTACAATATATTACATATAAAGGTAAGTGAAAGTAAAAATACTAATCCCATTATAAATTTTTTTTCTTAAATTACCTGCAGCTTTATATAATCCAACCACATTTCAACATTATGAGGTTCATTCCTAAGAGTTTGATTGAATGATTCAGTACGTTTAAGAAATTCTTGAATGTCCATTGGTTCTGGATTAATTAGTGTGTTTTTAACTTCATTTTCTTCATCTAATTTCTTTTGAAAATAGCGAGATTTATTCTTTTTATGTTTTTTCTTTTTCTGTTCAACATTGTATCTAAACAAAAAAAAAAAGATTTTAAAATAAAAGTTACTCTTTTAAATAATAATGTAGATTTTAGGGTTATCTAACTAATAACAACTTAATTACTATTTGAAATTAATTTAATTTCGAACTACATCACAATGGGAAACAACCATAATTCATCAACTTAAATTTCCCTTTGGATCATTTTGAATTGAAAACATATATTTACAAATTGGTTAATTAAAAACATCAATTACTCGATAAAAATTGTCTTAACTTAAAATAATATAAATATAAACATTTTAAAGTTTGTACTGTTCCTTTAACACATGAGGAAGTGGCGGCTCCCCGGTCAAAGTACCGCAGATAGCCACTGGTCCTCCAGATTGGGGGGAATACACTAATAATAACACACCCAGCTCACCCCACACTACAGACCAATGTCAATAACACTACACACCCTAGGGTCACCTTTCCTAGGTTGCCGCCCCGGAAGGGGAAGCAAGTCAGATGGCTTCGAGGAGGCAGTCCTTCCATCTGAATTGAAGGCAGCCTTGGCTAATAACTCTCTCCTCTTAAATTCTTTAACTTCATAATAATTTTCTGTATTTTACATTTTATTCTATGATTAGAGTGCTACCAATGGGTAGATTCTCTACAAGCAATGCCATGTCATATATTTCTTTGTATCACATTTGCTGAATTATATTAATTTGTACAGTTGTAAATTTCATGAATAATAATAAAAAATAATTCTATGATTATCTCACTTCCTTTTAGCATACTATTACATCATATTTTAGCAACTATGTCACTCCATTTATTTTTTGTCTACATTTATGTTTTTTATCTCATACATTCCACTCCTTTTTTTGGTTAATTCATTTTCATTTATTATGTTACCTTTTTTTGATTATGTTTATTTCATTAGTACCTACTTTGTTGTCATTATTATTTACTTCTTAGTTCTCTGTTACTGTTATTATTCTAACATCTTTATTTTATTTTAAGTTCACTCTATCTACTTTAAGTTTATTCTACCTACATGTATAGTCTATATCTTTTACGTTTTTTTTTTTTTAATTTTTTATTATTCAATGATTTTAGTTTCTCAGACCTATTGTTATCTGGTCTTTTTTTTTCTTAGCCCCAATGAAGGCCTGAACTTTGGGACGAAACGTCGGCAAATATAAAAATAAATATACTTAAAATAAAAGTGATTCTATATTTTAATGATAAAAATGATTATATTTATTTTTACTATTTTTTTTTTTTTTTTTTACTCATCGCTCCACCCATTCTTCTCTTTAATTATTCACAACAGTCAACCATAAATTTACAATAATAAATAAATACTTCCTTGAAGTCAACCAAAAAAAGTACTAGAAGAATAAATTATTGCTAAAATATAAACCCCAGTAATTAGGGTCTAAATATCACAATATAAATCAGTGATTAGTTATTAGTTAAAAAAATACTTCTAGCAATTTCAGATAGGCTGTAAGACTTTGTTAGATCAACTAGATAATTACAACAGTAATAACTTAAAAAATTATAACTGTTTTATATTTAATATAAAATGTTACCTTGTAGCGGCCTTAGTAAGCTTTACTTGAGGAACGGAATATCCTGATTCATTTTTTAAAGCATTGCTGTCTTCATAATACAATGCTGAGTCATTATTTCCTTCCTTGATATTTCTTTTACTAAAACATCATTAGTGTAGTGATAGATCTTTCATCATAAAAGCATAAATATACAAATATAAAAAAAAAAATGTAGGCATTTTTTTCAAAAGTAATAATTATAAAACAAAAATAGTAATGAATAAACATATATAGCTTTTATTTTATCGATTAAAACTAAAAAAAGAAAATAAGAATAAAAACATAATGTTAAAAATGGATAAGCAATATATAGTTTAATTCTTAATACTCAGAAAGAATTTTATTTTTCTCATTTTAATTAATTTTCAGTTCAGAAACTGTTTAACTTTTTAGTTGTACAAAGCCTTAATCAAGGTCCGGTGCTGTGTTTTGCGCACCGGGTACTCAAGGTCTAGCCAATCCTCTGTGTGAGGGATTTATTCACTGAATTGCTCCCGTCACTTTGTACTATTCCACATTAATTTTTTTTTTTTTTTTATAACTGACTTATACATTTTTTCTTTAATATGATGTTAGCTCACATTTCAATAAACAGTTAAATATATATATACTTTTCTAATTGTAAACTTTCTTTTAATTTTATAATTTATTAATTGTCTAATATTACTTTTACATTATTTGTTGATATAATCTAATTTATTTTTTGTACATATAGTGCCATTATCTTTTTATTCTTCATTTGAATTTTTTTTTTTTATTGATCAATTTCTGATATGGAAAAATTTTAAAAAAGTTTCATTATATGGTAAATTTTATTACATATATTTCAATTGAAAAAATGTATACTTTTGAAAAAATAAATAAAAAGTTATTTCAGAGATTTAAAACTCATTTTCAACTTTCGCACTTCAAAACACTACCAACTGCTGTTAGTTTTAGAGCTAAACTGTGTTCAAAAGACTAAAGTCCGGCAACAACCTATGACTCATGGGGTTTCCAATAGAGAGCTCTGTAATGAGCCAGAATATTGGCTTTGCGCAACTAAATAATAAAGAGCTGAAACCACTAGATTGGCTCAGCGTGCCAGAGGCATGGTCTTTCCGGAGCCATTATATTGGCTCTGGGCATCTAAAGAGTTAATCTAAGCTTTTCTACACTTTCCTATCCTGCTGTAACATATTTATTGGGTTGTCCAGAAAATATACAAGATTTTGAGTTTTCTGTAGAATACCCTTCCATATAACAAACTATTTATGTTAACTGGATTATTCGTTCGTATGAATGTCAAGACTTATTAATCCTCTTCCAAACGATAATGTTTGTTTACCTCTCTAGCATTTCGCTGCTTAGTAATAATTCAGTCTTTATTAAGATGTCAACGCTTGATTTTCGTATAATTTTGTTTTACAAGTTTAAACTCGACCAGAATGGGGCCCAGACGGTCAGAAACATCAATCAAGTCTGGGGAGAGAAGAGCATTAATGAGTGCACTATTCAAGGGTGGTTAAAACAATTTTGGGAGGGAAACTTCAGCCTTGAAGACAAAGAAGGTCGTGGAAGTGGAAGGACTTCCTTTCTTGATGACGGTGTTCTTCGGGCATTGGTGGAAGAAAATCTCAGAACAACTCTTCAAGAATTTAAGAGGGAAAACTAAACCTTAGCAAATCAACCGTCGATGACCACCTCAAGGATATTAGAAAGGTAAAAAAGCTCAAAAGTTTGGTTCCATACACATTAAACGACTGCTAAAAAAACCAGCATTAAAAAGTTTATGCTACACTTTTGCCAAAACAAAAACGATCCTTTTCTGTCCAGTGCTGTTACTTGTGGATCCTTTTCTGTCCTGGATTGTTACTTGTGATAAGTTGATACTTTACGATAACAGTAGACATTCAGAACAGTGGCTCGACAAAGCAGAAGCAGCAGAACATTATCCAAAGCCCCCAAACAGCTTCTTAAATCCTGGTGAAGCCATCAATGCCCAATCGTATTGTAACCAAATTAATGCAATGCATCAGAAATTGGCAATAATGAAGCCATCTTTGGTCAATTGGAAGAGGCCCATTTTGTTGCATTTTGTTGAATAGATATGAAACTCTGCCACATCTGCCCCACTCTCTGGACATCTCATCTACAGATTATCATTTTTTTAGAAACATAGACCACTACTTACGTGACAAACAATTTAATGGACAAAGGGGATTAAAAAATGCGTTTTTGGATTTTATCAATCTTAAAGATCTAATTCTATTCCTTGGGAATGAAAAAGTTGCCAACACATTGGCAGAAATGTATTGATAGTAGTGGAGACTATTTTGATTAAATAAAACAGTTCTAAATCTTTCTTTTTTCTTTTTAAACCAAAATCCTGCATCATTTTCCAGACAACCCAATATATATCAGAAACAGCAAAGAATAAGTAGCTAAGTTCAATTCTAAGAAATATTAATTAGTTCATCACTAGGTTGTAAAAGATGATTTTCATAAATGTCAAAGAAAAGAGATGAGGAGATAACAAAAAGTTATATCTCAAATAACAGATTTTCAAAAAGCTTTTAAACTTGAAACATTTCCCAACGGTTTGATTTCAGAAATTATTCATCACAGAAATAGATGTATTATACCCACCACAATACCGTTGATAAAGGCTTAGTCATAAATAATCTAAGGGCTAAAACGCTTTTCTTATACTTAATTAATCTTGGCTTAATGAATTAGATATTGTTTTTCTACCAAAAATAAACTCTGTAATGTTTAATTAAGTTTTATATTAATAAAAAATATTAATTGTTATATTTTAATTTTTTATATCAAATTTTACATTTTTTCACTTTTGACTAATTTGCATTGTCGATAGTTTAATAGAAATCCTATAGAGGCTAAATAGCCTGTGAGTAATTACTTTAAATTATAATATTAAAAAATAAGAGCATTTGGTTTCCATTTTTCAAAAATTAAATAAAATGTTTTAACAGTTATTAAATATAAAAATATATGTATTTTAAACATTATTAAGTAATGTCATGTTACAATTGTTATATATTATATTAATAGACCATTCTTTTAATGGATATATTTACATGTTATACTTTAACATGGTTTTAAATTTTTTTTTATATACCTCCCTTCTAATTTTTTTTTTTTTTTTATATTTGTTTATTTAGAAATATTACATTCTGTCACATCAAGGACATTTATAATAGTGTTCAGAGAAAGCACACTCACACTCTATTTACAATAAAAAAAAAAAATAATAATAATACAGAAACTTAATAATAATAAATACAATAAAATAAAATAAAAATAAATACAATAAAATAAAATAAATGTATATAAACAAAAGAACTAACCTAATCATACAAACTCGGGCTTGAGTGGAGGATCTGGCCATTGCCAAAACTCCAATAGATGCTTATTTACAAACGGTCTCTGGACCACTGCCGCTTCAACCTTCGAGGAGGATTGTAAGGATGGGTGGTGCTGGATAGAGATTGTGCAAGGGGATTTGGATGATAGGTAAGGTTCTGGTGAAATTTGGAGAATTTTTCTGGAATAAGGTCTAGGACAAATGGGATATTAAGGTCATGGTGTAGGATTTTGTTATTTACATAGAACGGAGCATCAACTATTGTTCAAAGGACTTTAGATTGAAAGGATTGAATACGTTTGATGTTAGAAGCTTTTGCTGTCCCCCACAGTTCAAGTCCGTATGTCCATATAGGTTTCAGTATTGTCTTGTAGATAAGTAATTTGTTTTCAATAGAAAGTTTGGATTTTCTGTTTAGTAGTCTGTATAGCTGGCCGTATCGTCGGTTGAGTTCTTGTCTTTTGAGTCTAGTATGTGGGTTCCACGTTAGTCTTCGGTCTAAATGAAAGCCAAGATACCGGACTGTGTCTGAGTAAGGAAGCTGGATGGAATTAAAGTGTACTGGTGGACAGGAACTGCGTCGGAGTGTAAAGGTAATATGTTGGCATTTAGATTCATTAACTTTAATGCGCCAGTTATTACACCAGTGCTCAATCAAGGTGAGGTGGTTTTGGAGATTTAAGGATGCTATGTTGGGATCTGAGTCAGATGATAGAATGGCGGTGTCATCAGCAAAAGTTGCCAGGAAGGTATCGGGATGGACAGGGATATCGGCGGTAAAGAGGATGTAAAGGACGGGACCCAATACGCTACCTTGAGGAACACCTGCCTCAATTGGATAGCAATGCGAAAATTCAGTACCGCAACGAACTCGGAAGGTACGATCTGAGAGGTAGGAACGGAGAACAAGGTACAAGGACTGAGGAAGATAGTTTTTCAGCTTGGAAAGAAGCCCGGCGTGCCATACCCGGTCGAAAGCTTGAGCTATGTCCAGAAATGCACCCGAGCAATATTGCTTGCTTTCCAATGCCCTTCTAATTAATTTACTTTTTATTTTTTCTAAGAGTATATACATTTATAAAGTTTTTATTTCCTTTGACGTAGAACTATTGAAAACCCTCTTATTTTAAATTAATTTATTAATTTTTTATTCACAAATCATAAGACTACATTTCGAGTTCTTTTACCCATTTTCAATTCAAAAATTTATGTCTTATGGTAGTCAATTAAATTTAAAATCTAATAAAATGTACTTAATTTTCATTATGTAATATAGTTATGTACTATTTCATAAGATCATCCTTTTTTTCTTAAACAATTAGCCTTCCATCATCTAGCTACAATATAATGTCAACATTGTTCATGTAGTGCATGACCAACGCGTAATGTAGACATATATATTTATCCCGCCAAATGCTGTAAAAATCATTTTCAGTTAAAACTGGAGCAATAATTATATATAGTTTTAATTACATCGCTGCTTTCGATCTCTTCTTGTTCTAAAGAGATAAACAAACCACTAACGGGTTCTTATTAGATACGGTATGGGGCTTACCAGACGGTTAAGTCACCTCCATCTACCTTCTGACACATTAGGCCTATCTCAAAATTCCATTTAGTGTGATCATGAGATCTTGTGCCAACCATCAAAATGGAGCAAAATTTGCACAATAGTGTCATAATTTTTATTAAGCTAAACATTTTACTAACTTATAATAGTCAGAAATACTTGTGATACCATTGTACTTACATACCTTTTGTGTTTTTTCTTCTTACTCTTTTTAGAATGACTTTTTGAACGTTTCTTTTCATTTACTTCCTCATTACAGCTCTCATTAGAGGATAAAGAAGCAGCACCAGAATTTATTTCAGGAGAAATAAAGGATGAATTATTCAGCCAGGATGGACCTGCTTCATTTGCAGAAACTAAAAAATCATTACCAACTTTTTAAAGTTAGATTGAGATTTAAAATAAGTGCAAGTTTAAGACAAAGAAGTTAAATGTCTAAAAAAAGGATATCTGAGCTCAATAAAGTTTCCAGTCTAGATGTACAAAATTATTAAGATACATACTAACCAGCGAGCATTAACAATACATTTTTTTCACAAAATTAAAAATTTCAAGGAGATAAGAGGGAAGAGGAAATGGTATTCCTAACATATACCTGTTGAAATTGAATATTACCGACATTTTGTTGCGTTTTTAGACATCAAACATTTAAATTGCATAAAAGGTACATCGAGATTTGCCCATAATCATTATTGAAAATTTAAAGATAAATGAATTTGCATGTTTCCAACATAAAATTTATGTTGTTTTTTCTACTTATATTTATTTGTACATACACTTTTATATGTTCTTACAATACCAAGCAGTGCAGTACCATTTGAGTTTGAGTTATTTGCAAGTAAAATTCTGAATCCACAGTTACTTTTTTCAAGAAAAAATATTTGAACTCACTTTTTCTTTGGTTGGTACAAATTGTTTCATTTAAACATTGTACTTATACTCAAGTAATATACCAATTATAAATTTGTCATAATAGCGCTCTTCTTAAAAATACAAGCCAAAAAAAACCAACAATAAAAATATAGTATCAGACAGGATTCTTTTTTATTTTGATATATTTTTTTTTCATTTCGTAGAGAATTTAAGAAGGTTTCAAAAACTGATTAATTAATTAATGAACCAAAATTTGAATAGTTTTTTTAGTTATTCGCAAATAATATTCTGAATCAATTATTACTTTTGGTAAATTATGTTGAATACATAAATTAAAAGGGCTTCAATGAGAAGACATTAGCTAAGAATCATTAAAATGGTAACAGAAGTGTTTGCGCTATAGTCTATAGTAATTAACCTTTTTCGGTCGCTATTTCAAAACAAAAGGCTAGATGATATTGAAATGTATATAAAAAAACTGCTAAATTTGATTGTAAAGTTAAATCAAAAGTTCAAAGCAATCACTAAAGAACTTTCAGGGATTAGCTGTTTTGAACAAACTAAATTTACCTTTATATATATATATCCATTTTTTTATTGATAACACTAAAGATTGTCAATAATCAAAGAAAACGAGAAAAAAGAAAATCGGTTGAGAAAAGGGACTGAACTGTTTTGTCTTTGCCTATTTATAAAATAAATTAACCCAATATTGATTCTGCCAATTACAATAAGAACACCATAGGTTAGTTTAACAGACATACCATTTTCAATTTTTTGAGAATTATTTGAATCAAACGCTGGGAATAATGACATTTTTTATAAACATTATCTCTGCTTAATAATAAACAATATTATTGCCATTAAAACGGGAAGGTTAAGTAACCTTTACTTAAACGAAAACAAGCCAAAGGGATATATTTGACCTAGACTTAATTTAATAATTTATTCTATAACTATTTTTATTAAGGCACGTTAAAAACAAATTACCAGGTCAGTAATAATAGCGGTAAGGTAATAATTGCTATTTTATCACAGCTACTATGCTTCATAATTTGAATACCTTGGGTGGGGTAATATATATTTAGTAATAATATATTTCAATTTTTAAAAGTTGACTTTTCCATAAAAATATTATTAAACTACAATTGAAATATTTTTTTAAGAATTAATGGTTTTTAAATTATTGTTTATTTACAGTGCTACTTTTATAAGGAAATAGGCTGCACAATTGTATGTAATTGCTAACTGTCAACACTGCGAGTTACCGATTCATGTTTGTTTGGGATTTTGCTTGAGTGCATGTGAAGGTGTTTTCAGTATTGTATTATTAGTGTTTTAAAGTAAATAATTTCATCATGGCTGATGCTGCAGCCAGACAGTTGCAGTATGAGTACAAAGCAAACTCCAATCTTGTACTACAAGCCGATGTACGACTTATTGAGAGAAGAAGCAGAGATGAAGCTACTGGAGAAGTTATGTCCCTTGTTGGGAAACTGGATGGTACCAAAATGGGTGATAAGTTTGAAAGGACTAAACCGATTAAAACTGAGGAAAGGAAAGTCAAAAGATTGAAACGTGATGAAGCTCAGTATGATTTTGCTAGAATGAAAGGAACCACCTTATTATCTGATAATGGAGATGATATGGTAGGAGTAGTTTATAGGCCCAAAACACAAGAAACTAGGCAGACTTATGAAGTATTACTGAGTTTTATTCAGGAAGCTCTTGGTGATCAACCTCGCGATATTTTATGTGGTGCTGCTGATGAAGTTCTATTTGTTCTTAAAAATGATCAATTGAAAGAAAAAGAGAAAAAGGTAGAAACTGAGCATCTTCTTGGTAGTTTAGCTGATGAGCGATTCGCCTTACTTGTAAATTTAGGGAAAAAGATTACAGATTTTGGTAGTGAGGACAAAGTTGCACATATTGCTGAAGAAAATATTGATGAAACATATGGAATTAATGTACAGTTTGAAGAAAGTGAAGAAGAAGATGGAGAAGACATGTATGGTGAAGTTAGGGATATAGATTTACAAGATCAAAATGATGAAGGGGAAGATGCCAAACATCATACTGCTATTCATGCTGAAAATCTGGGTAGCCATGAAGATACTTCTAAAAAGGAGAAAGGTTTGCATCCATTAGATATAGATGCATATTGGTTGCAGCGTAGACTTTCTAAGTTTTATAATGATGCCATGACTTCTCAGGCGAGGGCAGCTGAAGTCCTTCAAATACTAGGTGAGACTACCGATGATCGAGAATGTGAAAATCAGTTAGTTTTGTTATTAGGTTATGAATGCTTTGACTTTATAAAGCTTATTAAAAAACATAGAAAAATGATTTTGTATTGCACATTACTTGCTTCATCGCAAAATGAAAGTGAAAAGACAAGGATCAGAAACATAATGCAAAATGATCCTTCTCTAGTGAAAATTTTGAAACAGCTTGAAGTTGGAAAAGTTGAAGAAAATGGAGATTCAGAAAATATTAGGTCTTCCAGAAGGAAAGAAGTAATATCACACTCTACATCAGTGGAGGGTATGGTTCCTGGCACAAGAGATGTATTAGATTTGGATGATCTCTCATTTGCCCAAGGGTCTCATTTTATGTCAAATAAAAGATGTCAGTTACCTGATGGATCCTTTAGGAAGCAAAGGAAAGGTTATGAAGAGGTCCATGTACCTGCTTTGAAACCGAAACCTTTTGATCCTAATGAGGAACTTGTTCCCATCGATAAATTGCCTCATTATGTTCAGCCTGCCTTTGATGGATTTAGAACCTTGAATCGCATTCAGAGCCATCTTTATAAAGCTTGTCTCGAGTCTGATGAAAATCTTCTACTTTGTGCTCCAACAGGAGCTGGTAAGACTAATGTTGCTCTTCTTTGCATGCTGCGTGAAATTGGAAAACACATAAATGAAGATGGTACTATTAATGCAGAGGAATTTAAAATTATTTATGTAGCTCCAATGAGATCTCTTGTTCAAGAAATGGTTGGAAGCTTTGGTAAAAGGCTTTCAGCATATAATCTAACAGTGTCAGAATTGACTGGTGATCATCAACTTACAAGAGAACAAATTAATGCTACTCAGATTATTGTGTGTACTCCAGAAAAATGGGACATCATCACAAGAAAAGGAGGAGAAAAGAGCTTCACTCAGTTTGTTAAACTTGTTATTGTTGATGAAATTCATTTGCTTCATGATGAAAGGGGGCCAGTAATTGAAGCTTTAGTTGCAAGAACTATTAGAAATATAGAATCTACTCAAGAAGATGTTAGAATCATTGGTCTAAGTGCAACTTTACCAAATTTTCAAGATGTTTCTACGTTTCTCAGAGTACATCCAAAAACAGGCTTACATTTCTTTGATAACAGTTTCCGTCCTGTACCATTAGAACAGCAGTATATTGGAGTTACTGAGAAAAAGGCTCTGAAAAGGTTTCAGATAATGAATGACATTGTTTATGAAAAAGTAATGGAACACGCAGGTCGAAATCAGGTGCTTATCTTTGTTCATTCTAGAAAAGAAACTGGAAAAACTGCTCGTGCAATTCGTGACATGTGTCTCGAGAAGGATACTTTAGGTCAGTTTTTAAGAGAAGGTTCAGCATCTATGGAAGTATTAAGAAGTGAAGCTGAACAAGTTAAAAATAGTGAATTAAAGGATTTATTACCCTATGGGTTTGCTATACATCATGCTGGAATGTCGAGAGTGGATAGGACTCTCGTTGAAGATTTGTTTGCTGACAGGCATATTCAGGTGCTTGTATCAACTGCTACCTTAGCTTGGGGTGTTAATCTTCCTGCTCACACTGTAATTATTAAAGGCACTCAAGTATACAATGCTGAAAAGGGGCGTTGGGTTGAATTGAGTGCATTGGACGTTTTGCAGATGCTTGGTAGAGCTGGTCGACCACAGTATGACAACAAAGGAGAAGGTATATTAATTACTAATCATAGTGAACTCCAATATTATCTATCATTATTGAATCAGCAGTTGCCTATAGAATCTCAGCTTATTACCAAACTTCCCGATATGCTGAATGCTGAAATTGTATTGGGTTCTATTCAAAATATGAAGGATGCTGTGAAATGGTTAGGTTACACTTATTTGTATATTAGAATGCTACGCTCACCTGCATTATATGGAATTTCCTCAGATAAATTAATGCAGGATAAGTTGTTGGAACAATTTAGAGCCGATTTAATTCATACTGCATCGATACATTTAGAGAAAAGTGGTATAATTAAATATGACAAAAGATCAGGTTATTTTCAATCAACAGAACTTGGTCGTATTGCTAGTCATTACTATTGTACTTATGATACCATTGCCACTTACAACATGCTATTGAAACCTACTCTCAGTGAAATTGAACTGTTTCGAGTTTTTGCCATGTCTGGAGAATTTCGAAATATTACTGTTAGAGAAGAGGAGAAGTTAGAGCTTCAAAAACTAATGGAAAGAGTTCCAATACCTATCAAAGAAAGTATGGAAGAGCCTTCTGCAAAAGTAAATGTTCTTTTACAGGCTTTTATTTCACAACTAAAACTTGAAGGATTTGCATTAATGTCTGATATGGTATATGTAACTCAGTCAGCTGCTAGACTTATCCGTGCAATTTTTGAAATAGTATTGTACAGAGGATGGGCACAACTTGCTGAAAAGACTCTTTCTTTAAGTAAAATGATTGATCGGAGAATGTGGCAGTCTATGTCTCCATTGCGTCAGTTTAAAAAAATTCCTGAAGAAGTTTTAAAAAAAATAGAAAAGAAAAATATCCCTTGGGAAAGGCTGTTTGATCTTGGACCTAATGAAATCGGTGAACTTATCCGTATTCCTAAACTTGGAAAAACGATTCATAAATACATTCATCAGTTTCCCAAACTTGAACTCTCCACTCATATTCAGCCAATTACAAGATCAACATTGAAAGTTGAATTAGTTATCACCCCTGATTTCCAATGGGATGGAAAAGTACATGGAGTTTCTGAAGGATTCTGGGTCATGGTGGAAGATGTTGATTCAGAAGTTATTCTTCATCACGAGTTCTTTTTGCTAAAATCTAAATATTGTAAGGATGATCATGTTATCAAATTTTTTGTCCCTCTTTTTGAACCTGTTCCACCGCAGTATTTCTTAAGAGTTATTTCGGATCGTTGGATTGGTTCGGAAGCACAACTTGCTATTTCATTCCGACATTTAATACTTCCAGAAAAAAATCCTCCTTCCACTGAACTTCTTGATTTACAGCCTCTTCCTGTTACAGCATTGAGGAATGTTCAGTTTGAACAGTTGTATTCCGATAAGTTTACCCAATTTAATCCTATACAAACCCAGGTTTTTAATGCAGTATACAATAGTGATGAGAATATTTTTGTTGGCGCACCACATGGGTCTGGTAAAACTGTGATAGCTGAGTTTGCCATTTTAAGGATGATAACTCAAGATACCGATTTTAGGTGTTTATATATAACTGCTAAAGAAGCTTTAGCACAAATTGTCTATGCTGAATGGCATCACAAATTAACTCCATTGATTGGTAACAGGGTTGTGTTATTAACAGGTGAAACTGCCACTGATCTGAAGCTTGTCTCTAAAGGTATTGTTATTATTGCCTCTGCAGAAAAATGGGATGTCTTATCTAGGAGGTGGAAACAGAGAAAAAATGTTCAAAACATACAATTGTTAATTGTTGATGATCTTCAGTTGTTAGGCAGTGACGATGGGCCTGTTCTAGAAGTTGTATGCTCTCGAATGAGATATATTACATCACAAATTGAAAAACCTTTAAGAATTGTTGCACTTTCCTCCCCGTTAGTTGACGCACGAGATGTGGCCCAATGGCTAGGTTGTGGAAGTAACTGCACCTTTAATTTTCATCCAAGTGTTAGACCAATACCACTTGAGCTTCATGTTCAAGGATTTAATATAACTCATAATGCTTCTAGATTGATTGCTATGAGTAAGCCGGTTTATAACGCCATTTTACACCACAGCCCCCATAAACCAGTTATTATTTTTGTTCCTTCTAGAAGGCAAGCAAGATTGACAGCAATTGATTTATTAACTTACACTGCTGCTGAAGCTAATCCTACCAGATTTTTTCATGCTGATCAAGAAGATATTGTTCCATTTCTTGAACGAATGAGTGATAAAGCATTAAAAGAAACTTTACCTCAAGGTGTGGCTTACATGCATGAAGGCCTATCATACAATGATAGAAGATTGGTTGAGCAGCTTTTTGATTCTGGAGCAATCCAAATAGCTGTTGTTACAAGAAATTTATGCTTTTCACTAAATATTAATTCTTTCCTTGTAATAGTCATGGATACCCAATTTTATAATGGTAGGATCCATGTTTATGAAGATTATCCTATTACAGAAGTACTCCATATGGTAGGACGTGCCAACAGACCATTAGAAGATGAAGATTCAAAATGTGTTGTTATGTGCCAAAGTTCTAAGAAAGATTTCTTCAAAAAATTTTTGAGTGAACCTTTACCCATTGAGAGCCATTTGGATCATAAACTCCATGATCATTTCAATGCTGAAATTGTTACGAAAACAATTGAAAATAAACAAGATGCAGTAGATTATCTAACATGGACTTTACTGTATCGTAGATTGACTCAAAACCCAAATTATTACAACTTACAAGGTGTAACCCATAGGCATCTTTCTGATCATTTATCCGAGTTAGTGGAAAATACATTATCTGATCTTGAGCAGTCTAAATGTATTACTATTGAAGATGATATAGATACAAATCCACTGAATCTTGGAATGATTGCAGCCTATTATTATATTAATTATACTACGATAGAACTTTTCGCGTTATCACTAACCAGCAAAACGAAAGTACGCGGTCTTCTGGAAATAATATCTTCTGCTGCTGAGTATGATTCTGTACCAATTAGACAAAACGAAGACATTCTCTTAGAACCTTTGTCTTTAAAGGTTCCTTACAAAATTTCTCCAGCTGCTAAGTTCAATGATCCTCATACAAAAGCTAATCTTTTGTTACAAGCACATTTATCAAGGCTGCAAGTTGGAGCAGAACTGCAAGGTGATACAGATGCTATTTTAGGAAAATCTATTCGGTTAATGCAAGCCTGTGTTGATGTGTTAAGTTCAAATGGTTGGCTTGCACCAGCTGTTGCGGCTATGGAATTAGCCCAAATGATAACCCAAGCTATGTGGAGCAAGGAATCATATTTACGCCAACTTCCCCATTTTACTTCTGAATTAATTAGAACTTGTCAAGAAAAGAAAGTTGAAACTGTATTTGATTTAATGGAACTTGATGATGAAGATAGAAACAAGTTACTTGGATTATCTGAGTCACAAATGGCTGATGTTGCAAAATTTTGCAATCGTTATCCTAATATAGAACTTATATATGAAATTGAAAATAAAGACAAAATCAAATCTGGAAGCCTTGTTAATGTTATTGTAAATTTAGAAAGGGAAGATGAGGTTACTGGTTCAGTAATTGCTCCTTTCTTTCCTTTCAAAAGGGAAGAAGGTTGGTGGGTCGTTATTGGTGATCCAAAGGCTAATTCATTATTGTCAATCAAGAGATTAACATTACAGCAAAAAGCCAAGATAAAACTTGATTTTGTTGCTCCTGGGCCAGGATACCATTCCTATACTTTATATTTTATGAGCGATGCATATCTAGGTTGTGATCAAGAATACAAGTTCAATATAGAAGTCAACGAATATGATGCATCTGGCGAGAGTGACTATGATGACTAAAAGTTTAAAAACATATTTGTTTAATTTTGTGAATATAGTTTTATTGAAGCCCAAAAATTTATTTTTGTTCATTGTGTACAGTAAAAGTTAACATATAGTAATTTGTAATAATTATAATAAAAGAAATGTATATGTTATTTGAAGGAACTTGTAAATAATGTAAATTATTGGATTTTAATGTTTTAGATATTAAATTTGATGCTATTAAGATATTAATTTTTATTTTGATGAATTATGTTTGAAATAAAATTAAGTCTATTAGTAGTGAATCGCTTTTTGTTTTATAATTGTTGGATCCTATTTATCTATTCACTTATATGTTTATACCTTCAAGGCATGAGACACTCCAATGTTTACCAATTTTGCGTTATTACATTTTAGTATTACCTAGTTTTGCTTTACTCAGAGATATAGATGTGTATGAAATGAAAATTTAATCCTTATTCTTGGATATTTAATCACTTTAGAGTTATAAAAATAAACAATGCAAGTAGCATTTGTCTGGCTGGATCATTAGGCTGTGATTGTAGGCTAACAAATATTGGATAGGTATATACATAATGAAAGATGACTTAGTTCAGGTTGTAGTAAAAGTAAGTTATGATGACCAGTTAAGAGGTTACAAATGTTAGTTTCAATGAAAGACAAATTAGAAATAGAATAAAATTAATAATGAATATGTATAACCATTTCAAACTTATATAAGTACTTATTGATAAATATTAGAAGATTGATCATTGAGGAGGTGAATAAATAAGTGGTGTGAGAATAAGGTCATGGAAGAAGCTTCAGAAATAATAAAAAAACCTGTACCACTACAACCCATGAAGGGTCTTGGGTGCAGTACTATGTGAGGAAGTACTGTTTCAAGACCAACGTTTGTGCTGGGAGGCGGTGGGACCATTATCACGCTCAACCGCCAGGTTTTTCCTATTAATTATGGTTACCCACTTTATAGAGGCTGGGTGTACCCCACGATGGTCTCCCGACCTCAGGATCGTTCCACAGCTAATGAAAAATTACTAGTCATTAGCCGGATTCTAACCCAGCACCTTGGGCTCTGGAAGTCAGTGCTCACCCACTAAGCTACTCCATTCCCTTTTCAGGAATGGAAATGGGTAAAGAATTGTTTAGGATAAAATATTTTTCCAAGGAGCAATTCAATGAGGAAGGATCTACAAATTGGTGAGTTGGGATCTTATATTTAAGAGATGATTATAACACAAGACAAGGAGTTAAATAAAATTGGAAGGGTGTTAGGTTTACATTAACATCTTACATACAAACAAAATATTAATTTATGGCATTGGTATATTCTTGTTTAAATGTTTATGAGCCAAAAATATTAAACAATTAAGCATGCGCAGGAAGTTAAATGCTTCAAATGCTATTTAAAAAAAACAACATTTTTTTAATTAGTGCCCTTCAAAAATTTTGAAGGAGAGGGCCTCTTCTGGATATGAGGTATCTCTGCCATAAATCATTTGTAATTTTAATTAAGTGCACCTCCAATTTCTTGGATCAATGTTTCTTCTCTGTTTTGACAGATGTTAGTTGGGGGCTTGCTCAAGGAATAAACAAAAATCGCCAATTGTCCGTTTTAGTTAAAGTTGAGGATAGATCTTAACTGTATGTTTTCGAAAATACATTTTTAGCTGATTATTTTTGAATGATTGAAGAAATTGTTCTTTTTATTAGTGTTTTATAAGACACATGATATCGAAAATGAGTTTATGAACTTGAATTACTTAATTATATCATTCAATTAAACGACTTCAATTATATTTATATGATCAGGAGAATGTTTAAAGCAAGAAAAAATTTTTATTGAAAAGTCGTCATGCCAAACTGGAAAGTGAAACTTCTGGAGAATTTTTAGTATCATGGTCAACAATTTAATAAATATTAAATTCATGAACTGTTTGTTTGATCAATCAGAAATTGGGCGAATAATTAAAATAACGTTTCTAAATTTGTTATAACGGTTCATTCTCGATAGCTCTCATCATCGAATTTATACTTCTTATCGAATCGAATCCAACTTCGGTTAACACTCTTGAAGGTTATAAGCAATTAATTTGGGTGTGATCACAATTTATTATCTTGTGTTAAAAATGTCATTTAATTCACCTCCAGCGGATGAAATGTTTTTAAGACAGGTTTTTGAATCGTAAGTTTAATCAATTAATTTGTCCTTTTTCTAGTAACTCCTGCACTGTATTTATAAAAACAGTTGATTGCTTCTAGTGACAAATTTTTGTTATAGTGTTGATAGAGACAGAAGTGGACACATTTCTGCTAATGAACTACAACAAGCTCTTTCTAATGGTACCTGGAAACCTTTTAATCCAGAAACTTGCCGACTGATGATTGGTACAACTTTTTTTGTATTTTATTATTTTTATTTTCTGCTTTTATAATATCATCATCTTCTAAATTCACTTCATCCGGTGCATCATTAAAGAAGTTGTTATTGCTTTCTTTTGAACTGCTATTGCTTGTAATTTAGTCATTAATCTGTCCTTCCAGGCAATATTTCATTATCATTCTAGTAATTCAAAAATATTTTCTTCTGCATAGTAACTTTTAGCATAGTCATTTTTATATTTTGAATAGAAATGACAAATAATCAAATAAGCAAGTTATTATTAATGAGAAAAACACGAGATTGATTGCGAAAACATAAACAACATGCTCGCATATGACCACACTAGGATTTAATAGATAAGAACTAAGTAAAACTTAATGCATTCAAAAGATTATGGCAAATTTCCATGACGAAAAAATGTCATGCCCATATAAGTACTCAAATTTATGGGCGAATGAAATAAAATATGTTCACTTGGATTCGAGTAGTAGTGTATGACAAAACATTCAGTCATATTCATAACATGTTAAAGTAATAGTATACCCTTAACCATGTACAGTCATACAGTATGAAGCGATTTATATTCGACATTTAATTTACATAATGTGAACTTAATCGAACTTATACATATATTATAGAGTTGTGGAAAAGAAATAGCAATTGATAAAAACTGTTCTGTTGGGATTGGGTGTCATTCGAATAAATATTTACATAAGTAACGAATAATAAACAAAATTTTTATCAGTATTCGATGGCTTTTAACGGATGGCTTATCCGTTATTCATATATACAGATTGTCTTAATCATCTATTATCTATTATTTGTTATTAAAGATAAAAATTTCATTCAAATAACTTTTTTGTAACGTTTTGGATTTCTTTGATAGAAGGATCCACGTTTATGTTGCCAGGAGCAGTTTTTATGACAAATACTATCAGATTTGAGATTGCGTGATTGTGCACCAGGTTCATTTAATTTTTTGTATTTCTTCGATATAAGGTTCCACTCTTATAATGTTGGGGACGCTTTTTTATAAAAATACTGTCGGATATAAGGTTTTTTACTGTTTTGATTTCATTAATAATTGTATCTACCACTATGTTGTTGGAAGTGCTTTTTTATGAAATTACTATTAGATTTGAGATTGCGCAATTGTGCATCGAGTTTTTTCATTTTGTTGATTTCGTCGATATAAGGGTCCACTTATCTCACATATTATTTAAATATGACAATATTTTCACAAAAAGCTTCTCTGACAACATAATAGTGAACCCTTATATTGAAGAAATATAAAAAGTTTCTAAAACTCAGACGCGCAGTTGTGCAATCTCCAATCCTACAATATTTGAGTATCCTACAATATTCCAGAGAATTTTTAGGCATTGAAAAATAATTTTTTATCATTCACCCATATTTGTTTATATGGTGTACTTAATACTTAAATGATCACAATACGTACTCTTTTTAAATTACAACCTATAAACAGCTACTAAATATAAATGTATGACCATAAAAATGTTATTACTAAAAGCATTTTTTTTACAAGGCTTTGAAAGACTACTCAAATATCATTTTCATTTTCTTCCAGAGAAATGGCCATTATAAAAAATTTACTATTAAGTAATTTGTAAATAAATATATTTAATAAATAATTTGTTAATAAAAAAGATAATACACAGATAAATGATGGTAATACGCAGGATTTATAAAAATGAGTCAAAGGTAAATGGGTGGTTGGGGTAAGAGCTGACGACATAACATTCAACTGTTTTCGGCATTTCATGAATAAGTGTGAACAAAGTGATAGTGAACCCACGCCTAATATGTGGAGAACTCTTGTGAACAATCATGATATTTAACAGCATTGCTACCTAATTTTGGATATGGTTGATGTGTATCAAACATCTTTATATTGATGTGTATCAATATAAACCTACCCAACCAGCAAAAATGTATCTGAAAGATGGCTTACAGATGTCTTGATCAAAATATCCAAAAGATATACTGAATGACATCAAAAAGATGGATTATGCGTCGTTTTGAGCCCTCTTTAAGCCATTCCAAAAAGATATCTGGTTTGAGACCTCCAAATGTAACTTCATTCAAAAGCCATCTAAAATCCATCTTAAAGCTATCTCCAATATGTTCGAAAAATATCTTTTTGATATCATAAAAAGGTCATCTGAAAGATATTTTTATATTGTCAAGAAAGATATTTATAAAAGACTTATTGTTTTACAAGGAAAATAGAAACGTCTTTGTTGAAATATAATTGATTTATTTAAGAGATGTTTATGAATTACAAAATACTTAAATATATCAACTACCATTGCACTATTTTCTTTTCTTCGATGTTCGTTTCGGGTGTCAAATCACCTTTTTGTAACCACAGTTTTAAAGCTTCTATTATTTCTTCATCCATTACTTTGTATGGATTATTGAAAGTAGAATCTAACATCATAAAATCTATAAATTAATGATACTATTAATGATGATGGAGATTATAAATAAAGCGTTACTTTTTAGTTTTCAATGGTTCCTTTCCTTATCTTCTTAATGAATGACACTATATAATGAGCAATGACAATGGATTTTATTCAAATTCCATTGTCAATTGTAACAAATTCTAATTCAATTTGTTATACCAGATTAAATTAAAAAAAAATCTTAAAATGTACTCACATAATGTGTTCGAATCGTGACAACTTCTTTTAATTTATGTATTTTCAAACTTATTTAACTGCTTAGGTTAGAAGAAAAGAGTTTGGTTTTTGAGTTAGTCAGTTTTTCAGATTAAATCCTTACTTGTAGAAGAAAAACAAAATATTTATTTTCCTCACTTTCCTTTCAAGTGAGATAGGTTTGACATCAATTTATATATGAAATCTGAGCTAAGGTTATGAATATATATTATGTCCGTATGATTATTTTGTGCATGTCAAAATTCTATCCTGAAAAATAGTTCATTTAGATATACTATTAAAGACGTTTTTAAGACATCAGGTTTAAGGGATCTTTAAGACATCTTTTTGCCACATGTAAAAAGTTATTTAGATTAATCTATAAATGGTCATCTTTAAGATACCTTAAAGATAACTGACAAACTATATCTTTTATGTGTTTTTTAGAGATTATTGCTGGGTGGGTAGATACTACTTGACATGTGTTTCTCCACTTTGTTGGGTGGTCACAAGATCTCATGATCACTCTGTAAATGGAATTCGAGCGTGTCGAAAGTAGTTGGAGGAGACCAAACTGTCTGGTAAGGTCCCGAACCCAACTGAAAAGGACCTTGTCAGAGTTTGTTTGTTATTTGTTATTATTCCTTTGAACTAACTCAACTCAAAAGAAGTGATGTAATTATAGTCCCAATTTTCATTAAAAACGACTTGGTCTTTCTCAGAATTCAATTTATAGTGTGAGCATGAGATCTTGTGCTCACTTATCAAAGTTATAAAGTAGTGCCTAAACTTAGATTTGTTATTGTCTTAATCAATGAGGGTTATTTTTTTAAACTGTACATATGTATATAATAAATAATCTTAAAATAATTTGTTTCTTTTTAGTTTGTTATTTTCTCGTTGTTCAGGATATCTATGCATGTTATATATTTCAGGCATGTTTGATAAGGGCAACACTGGCACAATTAATTTCCATGATTTTGGAGCATTATGGCGTTATGTGAATGACTGGCAGGCTTGTTTTCGATCCTTTGATCGAGATGGGTCAGGAAACATTGATAGTTCAGAATTAAATACAGCACTAGTTTCATTCGGCTATCGACTTTCCCAACCGACTGTTAATATTATGTTACAGAAGTTTGATCGCCTTGGAAAAGGCACTATTTTTTTCGATGATTTCATCCAGTGCTGTATAGCTCTTCATGTAAGTATTAATCATTGATCAACTTTCTTATTATATTATTGAACTATAAAAATATTCTTTTAATCAATTTTTTAACATCCCTACTGAAAACATTACAGTTGCAGGTGTAAATATAACACTTCATGAATTATCAATCTTAATATTTATACTTAATTATTTTTATTTCAAATAAAAGGTTCTATTTCAAATTTGGAAGATTTTTAATAAGATATAAAGGTTATTTCTCCATATTTATCAAAAATATTTAAATTATTCTTTAATAAAGATTAAGCAAAAAAAAAAAAAAAATTTAAAACAGCAAACTTTGAATTTAATTTATTTAATTTTTACTTTCACTTACCTATATATGTAATATATAGTAAGGGAAAGTATTGTGATCATGAAAATTTTTAAATCTATGTTTTCAATGGAAATACATGTTTTGAGGTCCACTGAGTCGAAATAACCAAGCCCCACAAAGGCGTGTGTATGTGTGAACAGCCTAGCTCAAAAATCAAAAGTCGTATGTAACTGAAATTGCATATTTTAGGTTAGTATATAACTGGGTTGTTATAACAACTTTTTCTTCAAAATCGGCTAGTCAGAAGTGCCACTTTATATCATCGATTTTAGACAATTTTCTCAAAAACTGCTGTAACGATTTTATTAAATTCATTATGTCACTATAAAATTTAGTGTGTTTTAATATAATGCAGACTTATTCTCATTGATGTTTTCTAACAAGGCTTGCCTAATTTTTAAAATTTCTTCCTCTAAAGTACCTTTAATTTTTTTTATTTGATATAATTAACCTAAAAAATGGTTAAATATAAAATATGAATGAATTTGATAATTAACTAAAGGATAAGTGACCTAATATAATAATTGGCGAAACATGAGTGCTCAATTGAGCTCGGATAGTAACGCAACAGTTGCTACCAAAAACATTTGCAATGTTTATCCAAATGCATTAGAAGTTCGTAAATGCCAAAGGTGATTTTCAATTTCAATCCGGTATTCTTTATCTTTCCGACTTCTATCGATCAGAAAGACCAACAATGTTAGACAATGACATGCTAAGGATGGAAGTGGAATCAAATCCGTGTCAGAAAATAGAGGAATTGTCAAACATTCTTAAACAACCTTAGTCGACCATCCAAGAACATTTGCAGCAGATTGGGAAACCACCATATTCTACTTATTGCTTCAATGGCATAATACAGAAGCGTTTTTTGGTCGCTTGGCCACTGGATATGAAAAATGGTGTTCGTTTAAATCAATCTTTAATCAAAAAGTGGCCAGCGATTGTCAACAGAAAAGGTGTTATTTTCTGCAAGACGAAAATGCAAGATCATACTGCCTAAGACGAATCCTGGAAAAAATTAATGAATTGAGGCGGGAGGTACTGCCTCATCCACTATACTCCTCCCATGCGCCATCACATTTCCATTTGCTCGGATAGTTTTAACATTTTCTAATCGGCTAAAGATTTGCAAATTTGAATAATGTCTAAAATGCCTTTTCTATATATTTTGCACAAAAACCAATTTGATTTTTATCGATCCTGCATTGAAAATTTGCACACTAGATGGCAAAAGGTTGTTGACAACGAAGGTAATTCCATCAATGATTAATCATTGATTAATTCATGATCATCATATTCCTGATCCCAATACCGCAGCGCAGTGTGGGCTAGATCTTGTAGAGCTTGGACCAGGTTTCCCTTTTTTGAGCCAACTCTCTTCTCTTACTCCAATCCATACCTCGCTTCCTGAACGCCTCTTGTACACTGTCTTCCCAGGATATGCGTGGTCTTCCTCTAGGTCTCCTCTCCACACAGGTCTCGTATGTCGTCTGGCTGTTCTCTCTTGATCCATTCTAAGAAGATGTCCGAACCATCTTAGCTTGTGCTCCTCTTGGATGGTTTCAGCCGGTTTGACCTCGAGGCTAGTCCGTACAGTGGCGCTCCGGACCCTATCTCTTCTGACCTTTCCCTCGACCTTCCGAAGGTATCGCATCTCTATGGCTTGAATTCGACTTTTGTGTTTCGAGGTGAGGGTCCATGATTCAGAGGAGTTCAAAAGGATAGAAAGAAATGTCAATTTGTAGACTGCTACTGTAGTTCGCTTCGTTATATTTCTTCTGCCCAGAAATCTCCTCCGGAGAAGATAGAACACTCTGCCAGCTGCCCCGATTCTTTTACTCACCTCTTTATCAACATAACCACTTTCGTTGAGATGAGCACCCAGATACTGGAAATTATCTGCCTGCTCCAATCTCTCATCACCCTCATTATTCTCCGGGGCAGGGCTTCTTCCCTATTCGCATGCATTTAGTTTTTCCCGGGTTAATCTTCATGTTTATCATGGCTATTTCTTCTTGGAGGATGTTGATGTTGTATTGGAGGTCTCGATCGTTGGCAGCTAGCAAGACCAGGTCGTCATTAAATGCCAGCACAGAGAATTTTGTCGGTTGCAGTTTTCGGTGTCCTAACTGGAACTGCCTCATTCTTAGTTTAGCCTTTCTAAGTGCCATGTCTAAATGTGTGAATTCAAAGTAAGAAAAAGATATTACTTTTCGGTCCCTCTAATACAATACAGACTCTTATAATATTCTATACATATACATGTGCGGTTTTCATAAATGCTTGCGTTGATATTATTTAATATTTAATTGTATAGATTACAGCAATATAAAAATTAAAATTTATATATACCAATGTTTAAACCAATAAAAATACCTACTATAAAATATATATAAATATATAGCGGCCTTCATTATCTGTGGCACTCTTGTCAGACTAAACATATTTCATGTCACTTGATTATTTATTATAATCAAATAAATAATTAAAATATACATTGATAAAGACAGTGATTAGTGAACCCCCCCTCCCCCCATAAATATAGTACATTACACCGTTGTGTAAAACATAGGGTAATTGATTGTTTCAAAAAATATTTTGTACCATCTGTTATTTTTTACCTTCTCTTCCCTTTGTCTGAAAATACCTATTTCTGCTTCAAGAAGGGTGTTATGTATTCTCTGTTGGTCTTTCCCTTTATTTTCCTCAGATACCTCATTTTCATACTTTGGAGGCGCCTGCGATCACGTTCCTTTAAGGTCCAGGATTCGCTTCCATAAGTGAGGATAGGAACGAATGTCGAAAGTGTGGCTTGTAAAGCGTGTTGGTTTTAGATAATGTTCAGGATCAAAATAATTTTAAATTTATAATTATAAGTATTTGTCTCATATTTCGACTATTAGATGTTTGTTTAGTTTGAGGACGATGTATTTTTAGGATGTAGATATGACTGCATTGCATGGCTGAAATAGTGTTCCAAATCTTATAGTGTAAGAATCATTTAAACTTTATATGCATAAATAAAGATCATAAAACTTGTGTAAGCAATTTTTATCTCTTTTTGCAATGATATTATAATGCATTACTATGCCCTACGGCAATATTAAAAAAAAAAATTGTGTTGGAGTATTGAAATACCAAATGTATCAGATCATTGAAGTACAATAGCATATATTGATGGAATGCTCGATTATATTTTAAAATGTAGGCATTCAAAAATTAAGAAAAGTACATTAACAAATACCTAGTGGAAAATTATATTTGAAAAATCACAAACTTTTGATGAATAATAGTATATTGGACTAATGCAACAGCTCCTGTAGTATTTTCTTGAAAAATCAATTATAAATTAAAAGAAAAAATACAATGTTTATTATAGAACTCTGAAAAATGAGTTTAGCACCTTCAAAAAAATCTATAAAATGTTAGACCTACTGTTGTGGAAAATTACTTTATTGTTTCTTATTTAATATATAACAATAAAGGTGGCAACACTGGTTCAGACTAATGAGAGCTTAGGTATGCTTTAGCTTGGGTCTGTTAGCCAGTGGTATCCATTAGAGTAATAATAAATCTCGTCTGCTTTTGTCTTAATACATACATACATACATAAATACATTTTCACACTTCATATCAACTCAGTGTCTTTTGTTATTTGTCTCAATTTCTGATGTAGATTAGTAGAATTTTTACATTGATGTATTTTCAATATACATTTATGCAAGATGTGGCTTCTTTAGTCGTTCTTTAATTCCCTAGTGTTGTTACTATTTGACATTAGTCATTTCCAAATAAATTTTAATAACATCCAATGTAGTTGAGAGAGTTATGTTATTTTCTTTCACTTATCCAGTTGCCAGTGAAATCATAGGTTTAGCCAGGGGTTCCCAGAAGGGGGTTTCATGGTGCAAGTTGTGCCATTAACATTTTTGAGGGAGGCAAATTTCGACAGGTCTTTCAATTTTTGAGGGGGCACATTTTGACAGGGTTATGAATTTTCAGAATGGAAAGTTTTACACCTGGGGACACATTGAACAGGACGCAGCAAGTGTATTTGTATGGGGCGGAGTGGCCGAGCGGACTAACGCATGTGCACAGCTCTGCGCATTTCCTGGCAACCTGATAACCGAAGTTATACGGAATAAAAATAAGTACGAGTTTGTGTCCCTATGCCAGTGGAGTTTTTAAGTCTGGCATTAACCCCTCCCCCCTCCCTCAACCCGTGTCCCGGGAAAACCCTATATGGCCTAAAAAGGTGAGAAAAGGGTGAAAGAAAAAAAAAAATGTAATTGTATATGATCTATGTTTTCTGAAATTCTACTTTCATTTGCTCTGTTTTTAAGAAAAGGTGAGCACTAAAGTATGTTGGGGGGATGTGCTCCCTTGGGTTTAGCTGAAGATATATAAATTATTGTATTTTAAGATTGACTGGTGTGAAATTTCTTTCTTTGCTGTTTTTATTCTTCAATATTATCCTTTATTAGTTATTTTTCTTATTTATAGTGAAAAATTATGTTTACAATATGTTGATAAGAAAATAAAGTACTGTATTAAATGCTATAATTATAATTTTATTTTTCAGACTCTCACAGAAGCCTTCAGACAACAAGATACTGACCAGGATGGAGTCATCACTCTGCATTATGAGCAGTTTATTTCTTTGGTTTTTACAATAAAAACATAATATACAATTTTATCATTACTTAGATCTGGTTTCAATTTATTTTTATCAAATCTTTGTCTTTTGTGATATTCCTCTTAATTATTCCATTCATTATTTTATTTTTATATTATGGATTTGTAGGTTATGGATATCATTTCTATACATTTTCTATATGCTCATGGTTATCTAAGCTGCTTAATACTAGCTGTCTTTGATTTGGTTCTTGCCTGGTTAATTAATGTTCTAAATATGATCATTAGTCTATTCTTTTTAAATTACTTTATTTATACTATACAATAATTTTCATTAAATATTTTGTAAAGGGTATGTAATTTTCAACAAAATAAAATTCTAAAAATGATATTTTGTAGTACCTGTACATATATATATAAAATATATAAACTAAATATACGCATATATTTATGTCATTTGAACTTATTTAAGTAATAAAATTTTAAAGATGTTATTTTTTCTCTTTAAACAAGAATTACATGCATGGAAATTATGTTAATTGTAAAAATGCCTCAATTAATTTCTTAATAGAAATGTAAGCTTATTATACTTGAAATTAAAGGAGCTCAGTATTATATTGAAAAATTTAAAGATAAAGTTGAAGTTAAAATATTTAATGGTTGTAAAATAGGCAAATTAAATTTTTATAAGCTCTAACATCCAAAAATTAACTTTTTGGATTTAATTTTATGAAGGGATTTTTTTTCCATGCCGTTGACTTAAGCTTTTGTAACTCAGAATTACCTTCTAATTCAACATTAGTACAATCATTGTAAAGGTGATTTATTGCTCTAATAAACCATATCAATTCTTTTACATTTAAGCCTTTATAAAGAATAAATAAAGACAAATTCCTTAAACGTTTTTATTTTATATCCCAGTTCTAATTTGTCTAAGGGAGTCAGGTTTGTTCTCTTTCGTTTATTTATAGTTCAAAATTTGCACCTATGCTGGAACTTTCATTTTTTAAAATAAAGTCAGTTATTATTGTAATAACTTGAACATAACTCCACCTATAACACGCAAATTAGCATAGATTTTGTTTAGCATAGCTACAGAAAACGGCACAAATATGTTCCTGTAAACAAACTAGAATTGGGGATATAAAATTCAATACAATTAAGGGATTTGTCTTTATTTATTCTTCATAAACTTTTAAAATTATTATGGAATGTAAAATGAATCATGGTAGAGCAATAATTCACCTTTACAATGGTTGTAGTATAGTTGTATTTTATATATTAGTAAAGTTGTATTCACCTTTATTACTTTCACTTACGTATATATGAAATATATAGGAAGGGAAAGTATTGTGATCGTGATAATTTTCGAATCTCAGTTTTTAATGGAAATACACATTTTGAGGTCCAGTCCGCTGAGTCCAAATAACTAAATGGTGTGTGTGTTAACAGTCTAGCTCAAAAACGAAAAGTCGTATGCAAGTGAAATTGCATATTTAAGGTTTTTATATGCTAGGGATGTTACAGCAACTTTTTAAAATCAAAATCGGCTTATCTGAAGTGGCACTTTATATAATGGACTAAACACATTTTTGCGATTTTCTCGAAAACAGCTCTTAACGATTCTGATTAAATTCATCAAATCAGTGTAAAATTAAGACGTTTTAAATAAATTGTAGTTTTTATTCTGATTGATATTTTCTAACAGGGCTTAAATGGCTAATTTTCAGTATTAAAATGTAGAGTTTTTGAGAGGGGCATGGTTAGGGTATTGAGGATATTGTTAGTAAGAATATCAACCATAGAGTCGATAGAAGAGCAAGAATATATTCCATTCCAATCTAGGATTTCCTGGTCTGGTAATATTTTTTCTCGTGTAAGGGAATCTAGATGGCGGAAGGTGATAGTTCGAGGCTGGGTAGGAGGAGTTCGGATGATATATGTTATTTGTATCAGATCGTGAGATGACAAAAAGGATATTGGCAGTTGGGAAGAGAAGAGGAGGTTTTGTGCAGTCTATAATGTAGAAATCTAGCCAAGTGTCGGACTTGCTAGTATGGTGAATGGGAGAAAAAGGAACGATAAAGAAGTGAAGGGAGAAGAATAGGTCTTCTAGATAGAATTTGTCATTGGAGTTAGATAGGAAATTGGTATTGAGGTCACCGGAGATGATTATTCTGGGATAGAGGGGGATGAAATTCAATAGGGTAGATTCAAAGGACGGGTGAAATGGAGCAAAAGGAGGACATACCACAGCGTAGAGGAGAGGAAAAGTATTACAGAGGATTTATACTAATAGGTATTCAATTTGTGGGTAATTGGAAGGTGGGGATAAATCGAGGATTCAGGTCTTCAGGCTATTGTGGACAAATATGGCTACACCACCGCCAGTCCGGCTTACCAGGTCATGATATAGGAGGGTGTAATCAGGCAAGGAGACAGAAGAGAAGGGGAAATAAGGTTTAAGCCACGTTTCGGAGATAGCTATAATATGATAAATATTTTGAGTGAAATATTGTAGGAATTTGTCATAGTGGGCAGGGAGGAATTGAGAGTTAACATGACAGGTATTTGGTAGGGTAGGGTAGGGTAGTGTACTAGACATGAGAAGGATTTGGAGAGAAACAGTCAGAATTTGGTAGAGAAACACTAAAACAAATAAAAAATACAGAAAAGCTATTACAATTAATAAAAATGAGAAAAAAGAAAGTGTTTACACAAACAAAAAATAAAAAGCATGTAGTTAATAATATATAGATTAATATGTGAAAGCTCTCGCCCATGAGTCCTACTTATTGGCCAACATCACTCAAAAAACGTCCAGATATCCTAGATATATTTATCACCTCCCAGATTTCCTTCTCACAAGCCTTAATCAAATCACTCGATGACCTTTCTTCAGACCATAGTCCAGTGCTGCTTTCACTACATTCAAGCTATGCTCCTAAACCATCATCTCCTAAATTGATTACAGGACGAGTACACTGGGACAACTTTTGTGATGACTTGGAAAACAAACTAGACTTGAAAATTCCGCTTAAGACAAAAGAAGACATTAATGGTGCCATAGAAAAACTTACAACATTAATAACAGACAGTATAAACAGTAACACCTTTAACAGTAAGATTAACAATTTACAAAAGAAAAACTTGCCACAGCATATTCGTATCTTATTAAAGGAAAAACGCAGAGCAAGATCGAAGTGGCATAGAACTAGATATCCAACAGATAAAACTCATTATACCCAACTGACTAACAAACTAAAATCAGAAATTAGAAAATTCAAAATTTACTAAATTTTACTGAAAAACTTACACCTACCGACAAATCACTGTGGACGACGACTAAACGGCTCCTGAAATTTAAAGACTTTAATCATCCACTTCTTACTGAAGATCAAACTTGGTCCAAATCTGATGAAGAAAAATCCCAAATTTTTGCTCATCACCTCTTCAAAACTTTTAATCCACATCCTGATATCCTTAATCCAAATCAGCTTGAATGTATTGAAACAGAACTGGATAATCCACTTCAAATGACTCCTCCTCCTAAAGTATTTCATCCTTCAGAAATATCCAATATTATTCACAGATTACCCTCCTCCTTAAGCTCCTGGCCACGACCTAATCACTTCCCACATTCTTAAGCTACTTCCTCGAAAAGCCATTCTATTCCTTACTTACATTTATAACCCCGTACTCCGTTCTACATATTTTCCTGACCCTTGGAAACTATCTGTAGTCAAAATGATACATAAACCCAAAAAAACCACCAGAATACCCATCCTCTTACCGTCCTATCTCTCTTTTACCCATCATGGGCAAAATCCTGGAGAAGCTCATCTTAAAACGCCTGTATCCCATCCTAGATATCCTAGATATAGATTGGTAATCCCTGATCACCAATTTGGATTCCGCACATCCCATTCCACTATCCAGCAATGTCATCGTGTGGTAGACGTAGTCTCCTCTGCATTGGAGCGCGGAATGTATTGCACTGGAGTTTTTCTCGACGTTGAACAGGCGTTTGATCGAGTCTGGCATCCGGGATTGCTTTACAAACTCCGTAAATTCCTTCCCCCTACATATTTTCTTATCATCAGTTCCTATCTTACTGATAGGCACTTCAAAGTAAATCACAATAATACCTATTCATCCCTCTTTTCTCAATCTGCCGGAGTTCCTCAAGGTAGTATCCTTGGTCCTATCCTTTACACAGTTTATACAGCTGACATCCCAACCCATCCTAATACTGTTATTACCACGTATGCCGATGATACATGTGTCCTATCCGTTAATAATGACCCAACCATTGCATCCCAAACTCTTCAATCACACATCACAAGCCTTGAAGAATGGTGTCAAAACTGGAGGATTAAAATAAATTCTAATAAATCCCATCAAATCACCTTTACCCTTCGACGTAAACCTATGACCTCATATCCCACAGTATCCTTTAATAATACCCCACTTATCCCTGTTGAACAAATCCGATACCTTGGACTTCATTTGGACAAACGTCTAACTTGGAATCCTCATACCAGACTGAAACGACAAGAAAGCGCTCGACGTTTCCGACTACTCCAACACTTACTAGACAAACGCTCTAAACTTCCCCTTAATTACAAAAGACTCATATACTTGACTATAATAAGACCTATTTGGACTTACGGAGTTGAGCTATGGGGCTCCACTAAACCATCGAATTCCTCTCGCATCCAACCCTTACAATCCAAAATTCTTCGTAAAATCCTCAATGCTCCTTACTTTGTCACTAATAAAATAATCCATAAAGACCTCAATGTTCCATATGTTTCCGATTTGGCCAAATCCAGATACCTATCCTTCCATAAGAAACTTCATAACCATCCGAATCCTCTTGTTTCTAACCTTGCTTCCTCTTGGATTCCTGATAACCCTCCGAGGCGTCTGAAAAGAAGATGGCCTCGTGATCTTCTCATGTAGACAAATTATTAGAGTGCTACCAGTGGGTAGTTTCTCAACAAGCGTGTTTCATGTAATAATATTTCTCTGTACAAATTTACTAGATGTATTCATACTAATACAGTAGTAAATATCATAATAAAAGTTAAAAAAAAAAAAAAAAAATATGTGAAAGTGAAGAAATAGCTCAACGAGTAAAAGCGAAAATATTTCTTTGAAGAAAATTTCGATAGTAGTTATTATAATAAGGATGGAGTGTAGACGAATTCTTTTCGATATTAAATCGTCTCTGACTGATTGCTTGACAAATCGCGCGATGACAGGCGGCGGTCGCGGGTTATCTTGCCCGCTTCTGCGACGATGCACCATGTCCAGGTCTTCTGCACTAAGCCTGACTCCCAGGCTGGCTCTTATACTGGTCACCAAAGCGGCGGGCGTTTCACCAGCTCAGGTATATCTCGGATCTCCAGTGATCTG